ACTCCACAACGGCCTTTCGGAGACCATCCTCAACTTGGCACATCCAAAGCATAGACAGACACAGATGCACACACAGAAACACACACACGCGCATGTATGTGTATAGGTTTCTGTGTCTGGCACAGTATATCATCTTTTGATATACGGTGGTACCTAGACACAGATTTTTGTGTTATCAATCACGTCGGTCGTTCCACTGTCTATACAGGTGTCACTTGTAAGAACAAGGCGAGCAGGATTTGGCTTGTATTTGGGGGGTGGGGGGGAAATGCCATCCATACCAGTAGTTCAGTTCAGTTTTGTGTTTGCAAAATTAATTTACCAGAGCAACCTCCAGACCTTTGGGTCCAACCAACTTCACGAAGAACGAGCTCTATAACCATTGCAGTTTCTTTTATGAAAGTAAGTTGTATTTCATTTGTTCCTGCAGGGTCAATGGTTTTGTCCATTCTATCTGATAAAATGTAAAGGCTTGATCCTGTCGCAGTTTTATACTGAAAACTTCAGTTAACATTCGTGAGCCAAATCCTGCTCAGCTTACTCACATGGGTATCAGCTGGCCTGATATGTTTTACTTCCCAGTTATAAATAAGAAGCAAATTCCTTATGGTTAATTGAGTCTTTAATATCACTATAAAAAGCAGTGTGAGATCAGAATCAGCCCTAGTGGGACTACGTACACTCACAAAAAATTAGCCAGACTTTGCCCAGTGGAAATTCTGGGCGTACAATGTACGAATTGCAATTTAACAGAAGGTTAGCCCATATCAAATTTCTCTGTTACAACATCTCTGTTCAAGAAATCCTGTAGCAGTTAAAAACTCTTACAGTTTCCACCAGATTTGCAGCATCGACAAAAGAGTAATGCATCAGATTTGGTTTGTATACCAGGAGACTCTTGTCCTTTCTGTTGCTCTTTTCTAGATTTAGCAAAATTCAGTGGTGGTGCTAAATAATTTTTTTTTTTAACTTTCAAGGGAAAAAATGCTGGCAAAATCGTGTTTTCTAGGGAAGGCTGTGTGTGTAAATGAGAAACAGTGGATAGCAGCGGAGTGATCTCCTGTGGCCCTGCTAGTACAAGCTTTCCCCATATTGTCTCCTGCTTTTATATTAATTACAACTTGCATTATCAGCTGCGAGTCTGTAGCCCAGCAAATAGAAAATACTGCCCCTGGAGACCTAGCTTCTTGTATCTATTTTCCATCTCCTTCTATTGTGCTCTACTCAGTATTCACTGCTTTTCTCCTGGTAACACTGCTCTTTAACACAATTAGGTAAGAGCAAGAAGAGCACCATATTTGACTCCCAATTATTAAAACCACTGGGAATAGATACATGTGTGCTGTTTACCTTCTGTGGTACCTGGCATTAATTTAGGTCATATGTGTGTGAAAATTTTATAGTATGAATACGTACACAAAACAGGCAATTGCATTTTGGCAGATGTCATCCACACTCTTCAATGTGTTTCTGCAAAGTATATTGCTAAACTTGCAAGAAGATATGAGAAGCCATGCTAACAGTTTGTGTAATATATCTAAAGCTATCTGGTTCTCTGGTTGTTGTTTTTTTTTTTATAGTGTGATAGCTTGATACAAATTTCATTGAAATTAATAGAAAAATTGCAATTAATGTTAGCGGGCTTCAGATCAGGATCCCTTTAGGTACCTAAACTGTACTGATAAAGTGTTTCCAGTGAAGTACACTTTAGATGTGTCATTTGGTCCCATTTTTTTTTTTTGTGAAGACGTAAATAAAATAACTACTTATGATTAGGTATTTGGCCAAGAAGTTTTTCTTGAGGGATGCAAAGTTGGAAACAGTCTAGGGGAGCAAAAGAGAAGTTCACTGGCACGTACAATGATCTTAGTCCAAAGCAAAAGAATGCTGCCTTTTTATGAGGCTGTAAACTCCACCCCTAGAGTTATTTGTCATTTTTTATAATATTAAAGCCTAGCTATTTCCCTCCCTTTCAAATTCCTCCAACATTTTACTCTCTCATCTTGTAAATATCCCATCTTATTATTTCTGTCCTTCAACAAAATTCTGCCAAATTGCTTCCTCAAGAAAACTGTGTCACAAGAAATACATTGAATTTCCAATCAATACAGCCTGTCTTTCTAAAACAGGATCTACAAACTGAGGTCAAGAACAACTCAGCCTGGTAGAGACAGCAAGTGTTTTCAGCTGCGGGAAGTCTTATTCAGTGATCCTTTCCAAATCGTTATGGTTTTGAAACAGAAAGGCCGGTCTAGCTTTTGAAATACTGTATGATAGGTTTTGGATGACATTTGCCTTAAAACATAGCTGAGGTGTTACCAGTTAATTATTGTAATTTTCATATGTGTGATAAGGAGCTCCAACAGCAGCCAGCTTAAGAGAGCCTGCAGTACATAAAATTAACATAACTCACTGTGCTCCCTGAAAAGTTTAGCCTAGGTGAACATGTTGCAATTACTACATTTTCTAAAAGAAGGTTCCAGCCTGGTGTTGTTGGAGGGCTAAACTCATGCTATGCTATTGTTTCTTTCCTTTTTCATGTATTTCTTCTAGCTCTTTATCTGATTACCATCCGGCAAACAGCTGACGCTAAGAGGCTGCAGAGGGCTGAAGAGCTCCTGTCTGCTGTTTGCCTTCAGCTTGAAGCTATTTGAGTGGCTTCCTAACTCAGAGATAAAAAGAGAAGCTCATAGGCACAACTGTGTTTTAATCCAGGCTGTAAAGAAACTTGCTCAGTTTTTGCATTTTATTTCCCTCTGAACTTTTTTGCTAACCTTATTTTCAACTTTTTTAATATTTTTTTTTTTTAATAACATCTGGGCTGCTTGAACTTTCAAGACTTCTCATCTTTCTTTTTGTGTTTCTTTCCACCTGACTCTGTAAAATGATGGTAAATTTTTTTTCTTTTTTTAAATGAAATTGGGGGGGTTACAGTATTAATAGTGATTTCTGAGACCTAATTAATACAACAACCTCAATAAATATTAAATACTACTGTTTGGGGGGCTTTTTTTTCCTATTGCAGTTCTGTGTGAGGGAAAGTAGATCAGCCTTTTAGGTTTTGGAGGGAGCGGTGGGTTTGTGCCGTGAGTGCTGTTGTGCTGTCTGTTGCGCTGGAGGGTTAGGTGAATTTCAGATCCTGTCCTGTCTTCTGATTTTACTCCTATCTTCCTACCGTGGAATTGCATATGTGGGTGCACGTGTGTGTCTGTGTAAGGTGAAGGGGATTTGGATCCTTCTTACCCTTTGGTCACCTAGGGCTTTATTGGGAACCTTTTGAAGCCGTGGGCTCTTCTCTTTGTCTCTGCTGTGATCTGGGTCAGGCCCGTTAGATTTATGTTACTGGGTATTGTAGCAAGCCGTTATTTGGCAGTTCTATTTTGCGTTGCTATAGAGCATGTGGTACTAATCAGTGCTAGGAGATTACTTTGAGATGTTTCAATATATATTTGGGGACCTGATTCCAATCACACTTACACTGAATTTTACAATGGGTAAATCAGTTGATTTTGTTGAACTTTTTCCTACTACACGTCGGGGTAGATGAGGTCAGGATCAGTCCTTCTCAAAGAGTTTATCCAAACTTGTTGCTTGCTGCTTTCAGGATCAACTCGTGCTTTAATAGTCCAGTGTTATTTCAGAATGCAGATTTAAAATGCAATCAAACTTAAGAACCAATATATTTTTTTTTAAGGGGGGATTTTTGTTTGTTTGTTTTGTTGTTGAATTATTATAATGCACTTGATTTAAGTTGTCACATACAGGTGACAAGTAATGCAGGTCCAGCCCCTAGTCTGATCTGTTTCATGTGTTCTTGCTCTCCTTTTTTGCCAGAGGAAATTCCATCTCTTGCCTGCCTTCATGTGGTGCTGATAAAGCTCTTCCTGTACAGTAGAATTCCTGTTTTCCTTTAAGCAACAGCAGGGTATTGGGAATGATCAGGAAAGGGGAGGAGGACAGGAGGAGAATACACTCAGCAAAGTAGCACTAAACTGTAACATTAAGTTTTCCTCACTTACCCTTTTAAATAGCAGCTCCTCGCTCCAGGAAAGCCAATACTCAATAAATTAGAAAGCTCGCGTGAATTATGTGACTAAAGTACAGTAGTTGAGGTCTTACTTAGCCAAGTTTTGCAAACTTTGTATGTCTGTCTTCTGCGTTCCCTTTTGTCATGTTTTATGCATAGTAATGTAGAAAGAATTACATAAAAGTCGCTATACATGTTATTTTATATAATCACCTGGTGGTTATTCTTGACAATACTTGTAAGCGAACTGTTAGCGTGATACATCTAAAAGTCTTTTGAAATGTGTCATGGGAGGGGGGGGTGAGGAAGCATCTTTCCTGGTATATAACCTCTTTCAGAGAAAGATTGCTTTTTTCCCCTCACAACTTTGCATTTGCTTGAAGTTTTTCCAGCATTCAAATGGGTGAGAGAAAGGGTAGGGTGTGAGGACACGCTCCTCTCCCATGCACGTTCTCCTCTACTTCTTGAAACAGTTTCCCTCCTCTTCCTTTCCTCTCCCATCTCTAGTCAGCCTGGAAAAACAAAGTGGGGGGCGATAGTTTGCATACCATCTATCCTGATCCTAAAGTGAACGCCCAATATCACAAATTGTGCAGGTTGATACTCTTCCCTCTGCACCCTTTTATAGTTCATTAAGAAACTTTTTTTTTTTTAATCCCTGAAATATTCTTCTGCAATACTATTCAAACAATTAAATCCAGACAACTCTTTAGAAAGCTTAAAAAAGAAAAAAAAAAAAACCAAAACCACCCTGTCCTTTATTTTCCCCAAGTAAATCTTTGTACCTCCTCTGCTTGTCTTTGCTGAAGAATTATTATACTGTGCAAACAGTATTGGTGTTTGGCACATTTCACAAATGCTAATGTATATACTTTCCCCCCCCTCCTCCCCTCTTCTCCCGGTTTTCTTTCTGTTCTTCATTTGCTATTGGAATGGGAACTGTGGAAAAAATTCCTTGGCACTCTGACACCAGAATCCTTCATCTTGGAGAGACCACGATGATGCAACCTCAACGCACTCGGCAGGCACACCGGGGCCCTCCAGTGGGGGCCACGCTTCCCAGAGCGGAGACAACAGCAGCGAGCAAGGTAAAAGGTCAAACTTTTTCCCTCCGCAAAGTAGGCATGACTAAAATAACTCCAGCTTTTTTTATTATATCAGTACATCTGCCTTAGAGTAAACATGGAGTGGCAGACTTGCAGTATAATCAGCTGTAACTTAGGGAGACGGTATTTCCTTTTCCTAACCCACTTAGCTGCATTTTATTATTATTTCAAAGCGAAATATCTAATCTTCAAACAAGCTTTGTAATAACAATTGATTAGTTCTGCCAATTCCTTTACAAATTTGGTTATCTACAGTTTATTTTTGTGTGGTGTAAGTAAATACAATGACAGACATACTCTCCAGCTGTGATGCAGTTGTTTGAGCTGGGTTATAGATGGAGAATTTAACCTGTAGTTTTAGCTGTGGAACAGATGCCTATATGAAGTTATGAAGCTGCTAAATTATATAAAGTAGAAGCAAAACTTGAACTGGACAGAAAAATGTTTCTTGCGATATTTGCTTGTAGACTTGTTTCTGCTCCTGAAAATCTGAATTCAGAAGGGTAAATAGAGATGTATCTGAAGTGCAAAACCTCTGCTGGATCTATACAGTGAAGCCTTCTCAAGCGTTTGGGAGGTTTGATTATTATTTCAGGGGTTTTTGTTTTATTTCCTACTGCCTAGCACCTTGTGTGTGGTCATCTGCATCCACGCTGAGAGAGTGTCAAAGGCTGTCATTCTGATATGATAGTGTTTTACACTTGCTCATTAGAAGTATAAGTGACTCCAGAAGGTGTAAGAGTCAAGACTCCAGTGCTAAAAGTTGGGTAAAGGTGGTTTACTGTCAGTCTTGGATCTTAACTCAGAATTGGGTGGGGTTTTTTGGTTTGGTTTTTGGGTTTTTTTAAGACCAAACTTTAAGGTGGGCTCCGTACTTGTTTTCATTTGTAAACATGGTAAGCCTTGGCTAGTGAGCAAGACCATACCTTTATAAGGTCGTAGGATATGCTCCCTCCATCTCATGCATCTGCAGGATTTTGCCACTGCATTTCCCCCACATAGGGGTTATGCATACCCAACAGAGCCAACTGACAGGTCTGCCATCCAACTAGCCATGTGGGATCCCAAAACTGGAGAGGGGAGCAGCACTCAAGGCTAGAGTTGCCGTGACTAGCCTCGCACTGAGGGCTGCTTCCCGCCGTGATATTTGCCACGCTTAAGCGGCAGAGCAGATATGTGATTTCTCGTCTCTCACGTGGCCCACTGCTTGGCACAGAGCTAGATCCCCTCATCTGTCTCACGATCTGGTGTCATACCCATTGTGATTCTAGGAACTTGCAAAGTTTGTTTCTGGTAGAGTGGTATGGGTTTGTCTCCTCTTTGTATGAATTGTTTATACATTTGTAATCTTATTGCTGATAGAAAGCAGCCATGGCACAGGGTGTGATCCAGCCCCAACATGAGTCATGGGGGATTTTTTTTCCTATGTGGTTGGATCAGAGCTGTATGAGGCCCAGCGTGAACTATCACAGCTTCAGCAGCTAATGAAAGGGAGAGCTTGACTGCTAAGCAGTGAATCAGTGTTACGTCTATTAGTTGGCCATAAACTTTACTGTTGATCAAATGTTTATGTTGTATATTGTGGCTAAGATGCTTGGTGTAGCAGATGATCATTTGCATACTTAAAAATTATTCCTCTGAGTCATCTGCCACAGTGTGTTCATTCCACCCCTAGGTAAGAAACTTCCTCACACCTGTATCTCTACTCCACCCCAGCAACCCCTTTAGAGTTTCTTCATCGAGCCATGCTTGTACTGATATCCAGGGACCTTGCATTTCACTAGTCTCCCATCCCTCATCATGTAACTAGGGCACTCAAGAAATGTTGCTAAACATAAGAAAAAGTAGTGGATGATAACTACTCCAACTTCCCATTGGAGACTGAGGTTTCTGGTAACATATATGATTTAAACAAACCTATTACATTCATTTCTGCAGAAGGAGAACAAACGCTAAAGGGCCAAATCAGTCACTAGTGCTGCCCGGTGTAGCAGCGTGAAGCATCGCTAGTATGCTTCCCTTTGTGCTCAGTTGGGCCTTTTAAAGGGAAGCACTCCTCCAGTGGCAAATCAGCATTCCACTCAGCTGCTGGCAGCTGAAAGATGTATGATCCTACAGCACCGGCAAAATTCCCATTGGAGACAGCTTTGGATTGCTCTCCCCATCTCAGCTCTGGGAAAGACTAAAGAGAGGGAGGCCTGTGATGAAATTTCCTTATGCTTCCTTGAGGGGAGCAGGGTTTACTTTATAACTTGTGAACTGGCAGTGAGAGTGAGTTGGACCCAGGCGATGCCAAGATGGGTAGGTGCCCTCCTGAGCTGTTCCTGTGCAGTTGCTTATTTGGGTCAACTGGGTTTCCCTGCAGTTTTGTCAAGACCTTCCACAAATGCTACTTCAAGTATTCCACTTGCCCCAAAGGATTTCTTGGGAATGGGAGCTCATTAGAGAGTCTTGGGTTATATTGGCAACTTATGGTCTCTTCTACTGATGCCTGGTGGTAGTAGAGATTGATTCAAACTAGAGTCAGTCTCTTCTGGCTCTTGGGGGCACTCCTTCCAGGGGTCTCTGCTTTTGCCTTAAGTCTATGATGTGCAGCTTGTGGATTTCTTTTTTTTTTGAGCTGGCTGTGTGATGACTTTTTTTTTTTTTTTCAGATTTTCTCTGCATGAGGCAGATCTATTTATTACTCAGAAGAATCAATCTGTAATTCTTAAAGTTAGAACCAAACAAAAGAGGTGTAGGCATTTTGTCTATTTATGGAGGACAGTCTCTCCATGACAGTGCATGACTGCCCTTTGGCATCAAAAGGGTTAATCTAGTCAATGTTTGGTATTATTACAAACATGCTGGCATTGAAAGAGTTAAAGAAAGGGCCTTCAGGCAGTAAATGTTGAAAGATTATCCTAATTTTATTAGTGGTGAGTGTCTATGTTGTTCTTAACATGTCACCTCACTTGTTCAACAGAAAACTAAGCTATACAACATATTGATCATCTAGCAAACCAAAGTACTAGTGACCTGTAATCTACCAAACATTTATTGACTTTGTCCCAGTTCAGATCCACAAATGCAGATCAATGCTGTGTAATACTATTTTAGAGATTAGTAATTATGTAGTAGGTCTGATCAACTTTCCCCCCTGCCCTGGAAAGAGAAAGAGTTAAATATATCCAATAATAAAAATAAAGCATTCTAAACATCTTACAAAGGAGAGAAAGAAGAAGCTGATTTAATGGTCTAATGAGGCCATCTTCCAGAGACTTGTTTTGTGTAGGGCTTGCTTTGACCTTTCGCTTTGCTCAGGAGCCCAACGCTTCATTTTTCACATTCTTGCAATTACGTTAACGCTTCAAGCATTTCTGACTCCAAGTCAGCTAGCAACACCAGGCATAACTCAACACTGTGAGTTTTTCTCCTCTCTGTAGATTCATTAACAGGTCAACGGGGTCCCAACTGAAATTTAAAACTGACTGGTTCTGTTGGGTTAGCTGAGTTATAGCAAGGGAGGTGGCAGGAAAGGGGCTGAGAGAAGGGGAGGAGAGAGAGAGAAGACCCTGGTTTCTTTTGCCAGGGAATATATGTGTAAAACCTTAAGTGGAAGATTAAAAGGTGTGTGTAGCTTTATCATCCACCTTTTTCTTTGGAGGGGGAAAAAACACATCTGAAAGTCTTCTGGGATATTGTGTTTTCCTTATTCTCTGTGAAACAAAGTGAAAATGGCCACTGCCTTTACATACAAGGCTAAATGACTTCTAGAATTCAGCATCAGTTTGTACCACAGCGATGGATATGATGCTCCCAGACTTTAATTCCTGTTTAATCTCTTTATGGGATGTTTGAAATAGTGAATCTGGCACATTATGTATGAAAAGTGAGAAATAAATCTTTTTAAGGTCTAAAAACATGTGGTCTACAGGAAAGCACCAGGGAATAGTTTCAGTTTCATATTTTATGACACCAGGGTTCTATACCTGATTTGCAATATTCTTGGTTCAGTCACTCAAAGGGCCTGATCCAGCGAAGTCAGACGGAGGCTGTGTTTCTTCATGACATTTCAGGAAGTTCAGCGCCTTTTTAGGATTAGGCCAGGGGTGATAAACTTGACCATAAGTGAGAAGCCAGAGGCAAGAAACTTCTTCTAGGTTACACAGCATTAAAAATATAAACGGGCATCACATCCACTGCGCTTTACTGATGTGAGTAGTTCATCGGTGTGTGGGGTTTTTTGGTTTGGTGTTTTTTTTAATGGAACTACTTGTGCTGAATGAAGATGATCTGCCCCTTTATAAATAATATCTGAGGCTACTCTCTAGGGCAATACCTTAAGGTGGTTTTGAAACACTTGTGACAGCTTGATGTTGGTCCCACAAATTTGTCCACCAGTAGCTTTCTGTGGCAAAGACTCATCATCTGGTCCGGGGTAAATTCAACTAAGATATTGGCTGAAATTTATGTATTCATACCAGGTTATGTCCCTGGATTGATGCAGGTTGGAAAAATTAGGTAGTATATTTCTTATTCATTATATACTACCTTGTAATAATGATGGTATACAAATCAATTTAGTTTACAAAACTAGCTGCTAATGCCCAAAGACCTGTCCTAGTATTGAGACTCCACTGAAACTACGTAAAGCTTTGAACCAAACTCCAGTAGTCGGAACAAGGAAAGGGATAGGCTGGTGTTAATAATAATAAAAAAAATTAACGCATTCATGCAAAGTCTTTGGAAGCTTAATATCCAATGGTTAATGCTACAATCACTTTTTCCTAGTTCTGTCTGTATAGGTAAGCCTGCTGAGGCTAGTATGCATATTCATCATAAGGATTTGGAACATATTTTTATTCCTCTGTATTTTCACCTATAAAGCTATAGGGTATGGTTTTATTGGAAGAGAGCTGTCTCTTGTAAGAAAGGAAATTCCTAGTAGAAAGGCTCAAACATCCAGCCTGTGAAAAACCAAACTTGCTAATAAATAATGC